TTATCTTGAGATGGCGTAGTAGCATATGTGCAATACTCATTGTTTTCTCCTGATTCTTGCTCGGATGAGTCTGTTGTTGGTGTATATTTCTCCAAAGGGTCTCATTGATACAACTGGTCTTGAGTTTTGCCAAGACCCTGTTTTGAATGGAGTAGTTCTTCTGCGCTTATATATTATTGAGCTCGAGTCAATGCTTCTGAGAAGGTTGTTGGAGCTCTCTTTCTAAAAGAAAATGATAGCTCTTTATCTCTTATGCCAGATAGGAGAGCGAGTAGTGATATTCCGTAGGTAAGATCTTTTACTAGTAGTCTTTCCTCGTTGAAGCGAGCCACATATTCTCTGAGGCTCTCAGTTGATTCTTGGCTCTTATTCTGCCATCCAACAAATTGCGTGACAAATGCTTCGACCAGTTTTTTAAAGAAGAAGATTGGTTTTCTTCTTAATTGTCGAAACCAGACACGAGTAGTGCCCGTTAACGTGAAAGAAAACACTCTGCACTTGATTGATTTTGTCATCCCGTAGAGGTCCATCCATTCTCTATACATGACCAAATGGTCAAAAGGATCTGTTAAGTTGTCRTATTGCTTTATAGTAGGGAGTCTGAACTTTGGATGGATCTTTGCTTTATAGTAGGGAGTCTGAACTTTGGATGGATCTTTTCTCTCATTATTTCTTCCACGAATGGGGAATCTGTTGGCTCTATAATCTCTTCAAAGTTCGTATCTTCTGTCTTTATGTCTTGTACAACCTTTTTGTGATCTTTCTGTATGCTCATGTCGGCTAAGCAATTTTTCTTTATGGTGCGTGGTGTTCTTGAGGTCTGGTCGGGTTTCCTATCGATGGTAAGTATCATTCTRTGGTTTGTCGTTCCCTCCTATTACCAGTTTACTCCGTGCCAATAGGTTGTTCGTCGACTCCTTCGCGTCTCCACTCGTGGGAGCTTTGCCCTTTCCTGGATCTCGTACAAATGATGGTGGACTCTTCTCTTGTTGCTTAAGTCTCTCGAGAATGAGAGATATGTTTCAGTTCACTCCTGCAATCTTCTTTTCTAAAGTAGCTCATTTTTTCTCCTTCCGTTCAAGAATTTCTGTCTGTTGCTCTTTCTGTCCTGGAATCTGTCGCCTTATATCACCCAGGGCCTGCTCGAAAAGTTGTCGACATGTTTCACCCTCGGCTGTCTCGGGTAAAGGCAGCCTCCTAGTCGTATGACGTTCGTTGCCAACATGTTGTGGTCTACTTTTAGAATTCATGTTGATTTGTTTCTCTCAGGATCTGTCCTAGATTTTGTCGATTCCCTTCACCCTAGACCTTCTCGGATCCTGAGCAGCTCTGGTCGACTTGTTGATCGTCTCGAATTTTGGATCTGAATCATCCCTTCTCGACTTGATGATCGTCTCGACTTTTGGATCTGAATCATCCCCACAAACGACACCAATTGTTGATGCGTGAATTATACTCTCCTAGTTCCTTCCGAGGTTCGCACCAAACTTGATAATCAGGGAATAGATAACCAGAAAAATCAATCAAACCTAAACCGGTGTGACTCTAGTCACACAGGCTTCGATGCCTAAGTTAGTAAGGAGAGTAGATGGATAATGAAGTTAGAGTGTGGAAATAGGGTGTTTTGGCATACCTCTAGGGCTTGGCTCCCCCTTCCATTTATAGAAGTTGAGTTCTAATCCCTTTAGGCTTTACCCCAGCGAATCCTCATACATCTCAATATTCGGGCCCGCTCATTTGTTGTGGGCTTTAGGTCAAATCGAGAATCAAGTTGGGATACTTCAAGTGGGACTGTGAAACGGTCGGGATGAACCACTACAGTTCTCGGCCGGGGGGCCGAGAACTG